TGTTGTGACTATGATACCTCGTTCTGATGATGTTCGTCACATGACGGACGAAAGCTTAGCACCTTTTCACTGGAATCGAAGAAGATTGCCTCGGAAACAGCGTCAGCATGAATCTTCCAGTAAAGCCAATCGACAGCTGGTCAAGAGGAATCTGCGATTGCCTCGGAAACAGCGTCAGCATGAATCTTCCAGTAAAGCCAATCGACAGCTGGTCAAGAGGAATCCACCGTTGCCTCGGAAACAGCGTCAGCATGAATCTTCCAGTAAAGCCAATCGACAGCTGGTCAAGAGGAATCCGCAGTCCTCGGAAACAGCGTCAGCATGAATCTTCCAGTAAAGCCAATCGACAGCTGGTCAAGAGAAATTCGCCGTTGCTCGGAAACAGCGTCAGCATGAATCTTCCAGTAAAGCCAATCGACAGCTGGTCAAGAGGAATCCGCCGTCTTCTATGATGTTCGTCATATGACGGACGAAAGCTTAGCACCTTTTCACCGGAATCGAAGAAGATTACCTCGGAAATAGCGTCAGCATGAATCTTCCAGTAAAGCCAATCGACAGCTGGTCAAGAGGAATTCGCCGTCGTCTTCTGGCGGAACCGACCTTCGAATCTCTTCACCCAACACTTCTACTCGTAATGGAAGTAATCCCAACAATTATGAAACAAGAGAGTCCTCGAAACCCAACTTTTCTTCGTATATAAAATGTATGCCCTTTTGTGGCAAATCTAGTATGGCCTTATCACACTTACTATTCACCCCGAGCCCCTCTCTTTCGATCGGCTGATCCGACTCGGGCCTCCAATCCGGATCCCTTCATTGTCTCGTAGATCCGTTCCTTCTCTTTCTGGCTGATCGATTTCACTCAGTTCCTGTCCCAGGGTACGTTTCACTCCGGGCGTTATTTCTCAAGGCTCAGCAAACACGTACACGGACAACTCACCGAGCAGAGCGCCTAGACTGTGATCTCCATGCTTGCAGATATCCGGCCTTCCCTTCCCGGCTTGTCTCCTTGACTAAACCCATGTTACCTGAGCAACCTGTGGACGCCTATCTCCTGTCGCATGCGGCATCTCAAGTGGATTCCTGGTACATTTGGTCGACAACGTCGAATTTCCGTGACGGTTTGCTTATCTGTCTGCCCAGCTCCCTGACTGCCAGGCCTCCAGAGTTGTACTGGTTTTTTCGAAACGGACATCACTTAGTGACGACGTTTTCGCTTTATTGCCGAAAACCCCTACCTACCACTTTCTTCATCGTGATCCCTTTTCCTTCGATTAGCGCTAGATCCTTGATCCAGGTGTCTTCTTTATGCTGGTCTTGCTCTATTCATGTTTTGCCCGAGTATGCTTAAGCAGTAGGCAAAGTTATCGCTAGCTCTACCTTCCTCTAATCTACTGTTTATTCGATTTTTCTCTCTAAGCATGTCAATGGCCTCCCTAATCTTTCGCTTCCTTGAGTTGTCACTGTATGGAATTCTTCATTCTTTTGCCTTCCAATTGATCTCGTTTCCAGTCTGTGCGATGTGTTCCGCTAGTTCTGATCTTCTGTATACATTTTCCTGCAAAGCCTCTAATGTTCCTTGATTCGTGTGCTAATTTTTCTCCCTATTTCGCCAATATATTTCTGTCCGCAGCCGCCGCATGATATACAGTAAACTCCTGAACAATCCAATTTATCTAACCTTTCATGTTGCGTCGGTAGATTTGTGAAAAGTGTTTATTTTTCATTCATGGTCACCCGAATATTCCATTTGCTCAATATTGGCCGTGGTTTTTGGGTTTGTTCGCAGTAAGGTAGGCATATCCACTTTTGTGAATCTTTCATCATCCTTACTGTTCTTTCATAGTCCCTGTTCTACCATCGGCTTTTCACGGCCCAATCGCTTCTTTGTATTACTTCACTTGGGTAGCCGTTTCCTAGGAATATCCTAGTCAATTTGTCCAACTCCTAGTTTCAGAATTCTACATCCTTTAAGCTTAGGCCTTAGATGATCATGCTCCTCATTATTCCTATCTTTAGCCTGTAATTTTGATGTGATTTTTATCCAAGCATAATAATTCTTTCTGAACAATTTCTTTTTGAGCGTCCAACTGGAGCAAATCACTTCAACATTCAGGAACGGTAACCGCTCATCTTTCTTTACTTAAATCGTGAATTTAATTTTTCCATCAATCTGATTTACACGCTTCAGAAAATCTTCCAGTTTTTCTCCTCCATATGACCAAAGTGCGAAGTAATCCTCTAGGTACCTCATGAGCAATGCTGTTTGTAGTGGTGACATCTTGAAGTTCTCTTCTATTTTGTTCTTGTATACGCTTGCCAAAAGTGGTGAGAGCGGCGATCTCATGGGAAGTCCAAATATTTATTCATAAATGATCTCGATGAATGTAAAATAGGTTGTCCTTATTGTCAAGTTTATTAGTCTTCTTAATGACTTCCTCCTGATCCGTTGTGATTCCAGTATATCCTTTTCTCGGTCCAGGATTTCCAGCAGTTCCGTTGACATGTGTTCTCCAGAGATATTTTTATACATAGATTCCACATAAAAACTCACCAATAAGTCTGTTTCTTCCAGTTCCATGTTCTTGATTTTTTGATAAAATTAATATGAATGTTTGATCGTGTCAGATAGTCTCTCATTTAATTTCTTGAGTTTCAAACATATGAACTTTGCCAATTTGTGTGTTGCTCCATACTTGTTGTTGACTATCAGCCTAAGCGGTTCGTCTTCTTCGTATAATTTCGGTAATCCGTAGGCTGTTGGTGGTCGTGCATA